GCCCTGATCTCGTTGCTGTTGTAAGCCGTATTCTGGACGAACTTCTGTCTCCGCTGCGTCGTATCAACATCGAGAAAGCGGAGATTTCAGCACTGAAAGCTCTGGTACTGCTGCATCCGGATGTGATGGGCTTGACGATTACGTCACGTGAAAAACTGCGTGATGCTCGTGACGGTGTACTGCGTGCATTGTTTGCCTACCTCAGACAAATGCTGTCACCTGCAGATGCCTCGGTACGTCTCAGCAATCTGCTCCTCGTCATACCCTCGGTATATTCGATTGCACAGAATCTGGCGCAAAGCAATCAACTTGGCGTCCTTTTCGGTCTCACTGATCGGATGGCCTCTGCCTCGAATAAATCGTTTTCTGCGACTTCTGCTATCAGTGACTGTATGGATGAGGCAAGTAAAGATATCAAGGAAAATGTGGATGAGCTGCACAAAGACGGTGGTCCAGCTGGGCTTCTGTCGCCAACACTGCTTGCTAGCTTGGTTGCCAGTCAGGCAATTTCGGCCTACGGAAATTTGCAGGCAGCTGCGCCAGCCCTCAACAATCCTGCCGCCTTACCGGTGAGTCGATAAGTTTTATTTGACAGACAAAAATAACTCGGATTCGGCGAGGACAAAACGAGGTGCTGCTTAAAAATTTGATTGCACTAGAGAGCAAATTAAGGCTTTTTGAATGATATTTTTCGTGAGCTGATTTCTCGTCTGTAGTGCATATCGAGAGGTCCAGTCGTTCCCCGGACGGCGTCTTTTGATTACCTGAGTTTCTTAGCAGCCTCTGGCCTATTGGTTGCTAACCCGCCATCGTAGACTGAGCTGGAAGCCTTCGGGTGCTGGGACTTGTTTTTCTCCCTTTTTCATGCTTTGTTGCTCATATGCCTCATTTTGCACAGCATATGCTTTGCAACTGGAGCATAGCTGCTGCATTATCGCTAGCAGCTAGCTATACGGTATTTATCTGTTGTTATAAGGGCAAATCGATGAAAAAAGCCTTTCATGACGCTGCGGTGCTGCTACCGTATCCCAGATACTACTGTTAAACAATGTCTGGTTGGAACAGAAATAATTTTCAAAATTTCAAAAGCAAGCCCTGTTCTCTTACCCCCTCCCTTCATACTCATTCTCTGGGGGATATGGAGGAACTCGGAGATAGCCCGAATGGTAGCACGTGCCACAGCAGTCAGGCGTGTGCCTGGTTGCTCTGGTACCAGGCATGTGCCAGTACTAATCTTTATCACACTGTGCTTTACTTTTGCCACAGTCCAAAGATATTTAATAGTCTAAAAATTTATGATGTTTTTGATAAAAAATTATTGACTGACAAAAAAGTTGTGGTGTTTTTGATAAAAAACTTTTAATTAATAGAAATGTTAATCAATTTTTGCTCATAATTCTCACTTAGTTGTTTTCCTATTTGTTCTTTTAACTAAATTTATAATTTTGCTTAATTTAAAGCTCCTGACATCTACGACAGCTATGCCATTGCCGATCAAGATGTTCATGACATGAAATTCACATGGATGAGCACATATCGCGACCACAAGACAGGTTCTTCAACATTCAAAAAAAGAAAACCGATTTCGTTGTCTGATCCCCCATTTTACACATATTTTATCACTTTTTTTTGTCTTTAATTCATTTCGTTTCATTGCTTTCAACTTGGAAAAGAGTTGCTTTTGTCGCACTGAATGTCTTGAAGTTGCGATGATTGGGAAAGGATACAGCCGCCAAACGTGATTTTTACGATACGCACAAATTTATTTATCAAACAGGACATGCATGCATGCCATGCGGTTGCTTGGCAGAAATGCAGGTGGATCGAGGGCGGCGAAGGGTCTTTCGTTCGCCCTCCCTCTCAAGCAAGAGTGTTGCAAAAGTCCGGATATAAAGTTAAACTAAAGCAAACTAAAATCAAAAGTAACTCCAAGTAGCAGTGTTATAATTCTGTCCCTAGTTTTTGCGTAGTTCCAGATTGGGAGGAGACCATCTTTTTCAATCCTCGTCGTCCCTCCCAGGAACTCCACTCTCCTCACCCCCATTGCTCTTTCTCTCCCCGCGGAGTTCGTCCTGGATCCGACTATGCTTGGAAAAGAAATGTAGGTTGGGATTGATGAGCTAGTTATGTACAATGCTTCTGCGAGGGGGTGGGGGAGGAGTGTTAAAGCCTATGATAAAGTTTATCACAGAGAGAACAGGAGCGTCGCAACGAGGCAATTATTTTCACAGTTTATACACTGAAAAATAGCTCGGACAACTTCTTTCTTTACTGGTCTGTCTTGTTCGTAAACATAGGGGAAGAGCCGCCGGTGCCCGTCTAATTAGTATTGTGCAGATACCGATGGTAGCAGGACATGGGGGGCATACTTACTGCACCTGTCCTTGAGCTTTCCTGTCCCAAGTTGTAAACATCCATTTTTTTCCTAACGGACCAATAAGCAGATTATAGCAACCGGGTTGACCCTGGAAGCCTAAATGGCGAAGGCGCGATAGATTACAGTATATGAGAAGGATACAAGAGATAAGACGTTTCGGCCCATTAAGCCATATACGTCTTAACATCGTGAAAGGACCTTGTCAGTATGACGGTAGCATTGCTTAAATAGAAAAAAATAGGTGTGAATATCCGTATTAGTGATGCTACTCGGATGCTATGCCAGGCGTTTCGAACCTGAATTTAGAGAAAATAACACTATCTTGCTGGTGCGATCATCAGTTTCAACATTTTTCTCTTACAAAATTCGCATACCACTGCCCACACTCTTAACGCAGTTATGGCTGTTGTCTGCTGTCAAGCTCGATTCACTACTACTTCGGGTCTACCAGTGATTTCCGTCTTGACGGTAAATTTATACCGGCTCACTCTGCTTGTCCTTTGTCCCCTCAAGCGGTTGTGAGAAGTCAGAGGACTATCAGGTACACTGCAATTGGGTTATTGCAGCAGGATTCATTACTCGATTTCTTGATTAGCTTCGTCCCTTCACAGATGCACACCGAGAAAGCGTTTTCTACCGCTTTTGGAACCATAAGTTTTCTTACTTGGGCCTCATTGTTTGTTCAGCAAACTGGTTAATTTTTGCGCTGTGTTAATTGCTTTCATTATCAGTGTTTTTTACTATTATCGGGGTATTTTTCTTAGAGATAATTTTCACTTTTTTTCCGACAGATGCATATTTGAAATGGAAATTATTCTGTGATTAGATATTTCTTTGCTTTTTTTTGCTGCATCCAGGTTTTCTACCGCTTCTGTTGCTATATCTCGTCCTGTTGAAGTCAAAACTGTTGATGATTCCTCCAGTCATCCTCTCCTTTACGAAT